TTAATAAGAGAGCATTTCGCTGTTTAAATCAGTGGCTTAAGCCAAAAAGGGGCGTTAAATTCATGAAATGAGCAAGCTGTTGTAAGTTGTCAACATTTAATTTTAGGTTGAATGTCAATATTTAAGGGCCTATCTGCACTAGCAGACAAGAACAGAATTGTTCCGACAAAATCGAAGGACAAATTTTGTCGTAACAAATTTTTGTCTCGTCAGCTGCATCCGCACTAAAAATATTGAAGCTGTTAAATCTGTCAAATTCAGTTAACAGCCAAAAATAATACCAATACTATACTTTATTGTAATTTTATTCACGGATTTAGCTTTTCTTTTCCCTTTGCTTTGAGTGGGCACTTCTGAATCTTGTGCCACATCAACTGCTTCATTGTTGGGCTGATAAAGTGGCGGCTGGAAAGCCCCTCCACCGTTGTATCTTGCCCTGGCTGCATCCAGCGCCTGACCTGCTCATAATTTGCGTATGGATTTAAACTCTAATCACCAGGATTCATCTTAATTTGTTAGAAGTTGTAAATTAGAGCTGCAAGTTTCGCAACGAAAGTCAAATACTGCAATCTTTTGGTAAACTAAACTCAGTTCAATCACCACACTGGTTGCGGCGTTTACAACAAATGATCGACAAGTTTCCCACGGTTTTGTTCATTTAGTCGATTTTGCTAAGGTTTTCCCCAGGACAAATTTTCTCGGCAGTGCATTTGAAAACTTGTCCACTTTGGCCAAAATTTTTCCAGTCATGACAAACCATCCGCACTTGTAAAGTGTTGGTGATGGCAGAAAATTTGTCTAAATAACCAATTTTGACGCTAGTGCGCAGAGGCCCTTGGACAATACATATATGTCGTTTTGTTGTGTAGTATTGCTGAGTGTTTTTACGAGTTATGCCACATTTTGACGAGTCCATAGGGTGAGTCAAAATATAACTAACGAGTGAAAATACTCGACAATACTACACAACAAAACGTCCAATAAGCTATTTATTATCCAACACGCCAAATCGTTATTTCAGTGCGGGCAAATTTCGCCGATACTTCTGGAGTGCATGTGATATTTGTACTCGTCTTGGGTGTTATTTGTACTCTGCGAAGCACTGTTGAATAATAAATTCTTGAATCCTCTTTCTCTTGTGGAAGAGGGTGTTCATAAATATGTGGATGGGCTGCGCAGGTTTTTTTTGTTTTGCATGTGAGACAGAACTTTTGTAACACTTCCTTCTAGCATTAGAATATACAACCTCTAAATCCTTTAAATTATAGGAAAATTATGCTTTACCAGCAGCCACATGTAGTCATAGATTAACTATTTTTTTTATTAATGTGGACACCTTGTGATGTGCTGATATGTATTTTAAGGCCTTCGCAATACAAAGTTCAGCTCACCAAACTTCAAGTTCCCAAACCTTGAAACTGTCCTAAATCATTGAAATTAAACACTAGTAGGCCTTCAAATTGGAAATCTGAACTTTTTACTGTTCCTTCCATTTGTGTCATCAAGATAATATTTCAACCATTCTCATAAGTTAGATGTTCATGTGATCAAGTTAGGGAAATAGTTAATTCTCCAAAGGGAGAGTCATTTATCAAAAGTGTACCAGGTTTTAGATGAAATTATGTGCGTCTTTGATGACTCATTTTGTCTGCATATACACATCTGTGCCTGTTTCAAAAATGGTGGGCTTGCTTGTCTGGCCTCTGCAACATGCTTTTAAAACTAGAGAAGCAAGACAAAGGGGTCTAATTTGTCTGCATGAATAAGAATGATAATCATATAAATTCACAATTTCCTTGATTGCACGATCAGTGATTGGTTTAAAAATCTTCTGTTTTCCACTGATTCACTTGCCAAGTTGTTATCCGACAGTTTGTTAGAAGACAGTTCAATATTAGCCAATCACATTCAAAGTTGTCATTTAAATCAGCCAATCACATTCAAATTTTGATTGTATTCAAAATGCGTTACAGGAACCACTTGTGTTCATTCCGAAACGAACGTTACAGGCATGCTACTGAGCTTAGCAAATATATATGGAATCTTAAAGATAAGGACACTAAGTTTAATATTAAGTGGCGCAAGGTGAAACAGGCTAGTTCGTATTCCAATGTAGCTAAAAGATGCAATTTGTGTTTAATAATAATAATAATATAGATTTTTAGAGCGCCATATCCTAAAAGCTCTATGGCGCTTTACAATTTTGAAAATAAATAAAAAGTTACAAAAAACGATAAAAAGCTTGTCTAAAAAGAAGGGTCTTGAGGCTCCTTTTGAATGTGTCTAGTGTAGTCCCAGGCTGCCTCATCTGAATGGGCAGAGCATTCCACAGTCGCGGGGCAGCGACTGCGAAAGCTCTGTCGCCATAGGTCTTCTGATTAGACCGAGGTACATGAAGAAGAGACAGAGA